TCCCTTCCGCCTCACCCAGGCGGAGCATCATTCGATGATTTTCCCCCCTTAAAAAAAAAAAAAAAAAAAAAAAGCTAATTAATCTGTTGAAACAATTATAATTTTCCATTTTACACAAACCTATGTATCTATGTGTAGAATTGCAAAATATATTCAATTAAAAATTAATATTAATTAAACAAAACAACAATTTTTAAGGTATTTAACTTATTTAGTTACGGTGAATCAATTAATTTAACTTTACACAAGACAACGGTTCAAAACGACACTAACCCTGACCGAATTCATTGTGTTTGCAACATGTTCAATTGCAATACAAAACAAAATTGATTGTTAATTAACATATCTAATTAGGTATGACACATTCACGAAAAGATTGGTCGACGGGTAGTTAATCTCTTCTCCCCTATTTAATCTAGCCCGTAATCACTAATACAAAAAAATCTGTACTTATTTGTATTGTGTTTCTCCTTATACTGATAATAGATAGGTACTTATCAGGATTTGTTTAATTACAACCTTGGAAACGACAAAAGTCACTACTTTTGCTCCATCCTAGAAGAAAATTCCAAAATCATTTCTAAATTTAGGAATGGAGTATGGAATCTAAGATGTGACGAGTGTAGTTGATTCTTGTTTTGAGTTCATTCAAAGTATATATTAAGTGTGGGAGAGCCATGTCTCGGCACGAATGGGCCGGCTCGACCAGGGTGATATCACGGCCGAGCAGAAAACCGACGTGAAGCAACGCTTGCGTAGTGTTTCGTCGTGTGAGTGAGGTTACCGGAGGCATAATTACCCTCCCGTTCCCCAATCTCCCCAATCCCTGAATCCCCAACGATCCTCAAACTCCTAATCCCCAAAAGGCCGGTAACGCACTTGTGTACCTTAACGTCTCTGGTGTTCCGGGTGACCATGCGCGACGCCGATTGCTTACCATCAGGTGATTCGTCTGCTCGATTACCGGCTAATGCCATAAAAAAATACTACGTATTCGAAAAATTACTCCAATCGCTCTGTCATTCAACACACATGCATGTTTCCAAATAGCAAATGGTTGATGTTAACACCTGGTCACAAGACACATAAGACACCGTATCAACCTATACCCATCTCTCAACAATACACTTTTAACTTTATAGCCCGGTAACAAATTCGAAAATCTATTGAATTTACGCATGTAATTGTAATGCACACTACGATTCGCTACTTATATAGACGTGGCAGGAATATCAAATTCCTTCGAAGGTTTTCCTCTACTCTGACTCTCCTATATTACATCCTTATGTACCTATATATAGGAGGTATATTTGTTTACTTCGAAGTAACTGGTATATGAGGTCATCCCCCCCTTTGCAGGTGTTGTAGAGCTGTTTGTCATTGAGAAGTTAAACTACATCATGAGCAAAATCCTCTAACTTTTTGGGGGACTTTAAATTCCAAGCTTGGAGATTATGATACCTCCATGTCATCTTTTATTCTTAACCTTTCGTGTGTCTAAACGTAAATCCACGCGAAACAATGTATTTTCTATTGCGTCTCATATACGGGCATTCAAGTGGTTAAGGGATATCATAATCTTTTTTTATCTAGCAGGATATCTATCGACTGATGATTATCATGCACAGAAACACGTGCTCACTAAAAGAGCTAGTCCTTATCCTCATATTTTTAGAAACATACATCACGCCTTTCATCCCCGAAGGAGTACGCATAGGTGCACATTATGGCACTTAATGCCATTGTACAATGTAACATCTACTTTTCACTATTTGTGTTATGAGTCCCATGTAATAGGGGTGAGCCTATTACCATATACCGGGCATAATTCCAGACTCCGTGCTAATATTGAGATTTTTTTAAAAAACCCAGTAGTACTTACCTTGCCCGGCTGTCGCACTTTTTTTTTTTTTTTTTTAGGGGGGAAAATCATCGAATGACTGCTCCCGCCTGGGTGAGGCGGAAGGGAGTGTCAGACTCTTACTGACTAAAAACCACCCCGTTCCTTCTCCTGCACGTCGAGCCGGAGCCCCGGTTACCCGTTAGGTTCTCCACGACTCCGAATCGGCATCGGCCCTATTGGGCCCCATCTGTGGTGGTCTGATGGCTCTTTGAGGCGCGCGCGGAACGCGACGCGCCGTACGCTCGGGTCTGTTTCTGGTCGGACGGGGAGCCACCCATGCTCGCCGTCCGCAGGCCCGCGCTTACGGTGGCCGGAGCTCGTCCCGCGATCCCCGACGCCCGGTGTGTCCTTCGCGATGGCTGGGTCGCGAGGAGGCAGCGCTTCGCTGCCTCACGCGTCCCGCCTCCTCCTTAGCTAGCATGACTGCTTCGCAAAAGGAGGAGACGGCATCCCAGTCCCCCTCGCTCCGCATCATGGCCTGCACTAGGCCCGGACGCGAGAGGTCGCCATCGCCGATCACTTCCCTGAGGGCACGGCGGTGCTCAGCCCACGCAGGGCATTCCGCTACGGTGTGTTCCACCGTGTCCTCAGGGCGGTCCTCGCAGTGATGACACCCGGGCGCGGCTGTCGCACTTGCGACCACTCTGCTAAGTAGGCAGTCCTTACCCTCATATTTTCAGAAACTTTCTCTCAAATTTATAACCCCACTAATTAGGTATCCATCTCGTGCAAAACTGCATTTCACACGATTATACAACAACTGTATCGAGTTACAGTCATTAGATAATACTTAGTTAACTCTGTTTGAAACAACTCGAGCAGTTAGTAGCACACTGAATTACCTAACTGAATTAACCAACGAGCTGACTACGATCTCATAACTAAATTACTTTTTGATTAATTACCTAGGTCCGATAGTTAATCTCTTTATTATACAGTAGTGTTTTGGTTTTCTTATGGTATAAGCCGGTAAACGAGCAGACGGTTATCAAAACTATCAGATTCCACTGCTAGATTATGGGTCTACGTCTATTCCGTATCATTGAATCTACTTAGTTCTATGAAGGACGTGATGATACAAGACAGGAAGAAGATATTACGTAAAATGATATGTGTCTAATAATTTCTTGCTATTGTCGTAAGTTGCTTGAGTTCACTGCAATCTTATGTTTTCTTTTTTTATCACCCTCTATGAGACATGATCACATCTTAAACTGGACATTCCTCTAATCGCTGTCAAGTTTTCCTTCTAATCATTTTTAAATACCCATGGTACATAACGAAAAATGTTGTAAATGTCTTGTTTGACAAACTATCATGCGGAAGATTCCACGATTATCACATACTAGTTGTCAACCTATCAGAAGCGCCAATATCAAAATATTCCCATTAATATACCGTCCCCCCTGACATCCCCTCATCCAATCAACTGGATGACACAATAATGACGTCATCACCGAGTAAACAACAGCCACTTGTGCCGGGAAACTCCACGTTGTTATAGACAATCCACTCTATATTAATGTTATTTTTATCGGTTATGAATTTGTGATAACTTTATGATACATATTGTCAGTGGCAGGTCAAGGTTCGTATTGATAAGGGAAATTAATTGGAATCGGTTCGGGTGGGGGGATTTTGTGGGTATTGTTTGGACAGGAAACTGAGATATAGTATTTATATTTTAGTAATAATATAATTAGGTAATGCCTTTTAGCTACTGACGTTTTGTCGATTTCAAATATTGATTTAATTGTGTAGGCGATGGAGGAGCATTGGTCTATTTGTACTTTCTAAACGTAATGCCTAAATTTTCTTAGATGATAAATGTTAGTCTAAAAATAAATTACCAAATAAGACCAAAAACGCCTTGCACAACTCCAGGCCAAAGCGATAGAACTAAAAATACTTGATACCTAAGTGACTAAGTAGTAGGCCTCTATATCGAAAATAAACCTGTGTCCTATAAAGCGCAGTCATAAAAACCTTCATAAGTTTATATTTAGGCATGCCAAGCCAGCCTTGACGAATTCGGTCTAAATATTGACGCAACACACTTTCAAAACATAACAAAAGATTACGTTAACGTTATTTAAAATAAACGAAATAACTGTTATTTGTATAGTTGACGACAGGTTGTAAAAAAGTAGTATCTATTATATTTATAAACTTTTTTTAATTTGCCATAGAGAAATCTATTGGTCAAGGCTTGTCTATGTTAGGAAGGCTGTTTCGCAGTGACCCGTGCCTTGCCTGGCCATTCTAAACGATTATTTTAACATCAGCAAAATGTATCTTGTATAAATTGCATCAAGTAACAATGATAACGTTAAATTGTTAAACACATAAAGCTCTAAAGTCAAATTACGAATTGAAGCCGGTTTTGTAATACTAAATGATCCTAATCTTACTTACGTCGGACGGCGTCTCGAAAAATCGGGAACTGAACTCAAGACCCTTACATATTTACACCAGTAGTGGTTTAGTCTGTCCCTTTAGGGAATAAGTTTTTGATTTGTCAGTTTTTGTTCTTATTTATTGCAAAAGGTAAACCTAGGTACTTTGCTTATTATAAATCATTAATTATTCAAGAACAATACTGTAAAAGTTACCTTACCTACCTGTGTACAAAATTAGACGTGATTTCATGCAGTTACATGCCTATTTCGAGATGCCACCGCAGTCGTGATTATGACTGCAATTACTGTATAGTACTTAATAAGTAAACATTAAATAAACTTAATAAACATTTTTATGTGATGCCAAGCTGGATCACCAGATGGTAAGCAATTAGCGTCGCCTCCACCACATGTACATCGGTAACACCTAGGAGACTTTAATTTTGGTTTATGCCAATTTAATATATGTATATTTTTTTATCGAATAAGCCGGTAAACGGGGATCACCTGATGATAAGCAACACCCGGAATACCAGAGGCGTTACAAGTGCGTTATCGGCCTTGTAGGAACTAGGTTGTTTCATGTCGGTTTTCTGTGAGGCCGTGGTATCACTCCGATCGAGCCAGCCTATTCGTGCCTAGGCATGGCTCTCCCACAGTTCTAATTCAATAATCCTAATAATTCTTTTTGTCCACAGCTAAACGTGAAAAAAGCGACGTCGAAAATAGTCCTCCACGCAAATGACATATTGATAGCGGTCCCTATCGTCCGCGTGGGTGATGTATCATCCCACAAGGTCACAGGCTACAAGGTCAATGACACCTACAGCCTGATGACCATCAGTCTGGACAAGGAGTTACAGGAGGACCAGAATTACACCCTCACTATACCGTTCTACGGTAACATCAAGCATGGACTCGATGGCGCCTACATCAGTACCTATGTCGATAAGATGACCAAGGAAAAAGAGTAAGTATATTTTGAAGTATACATTTTTTTCGGAACAAGCTCGGTACAACCTCCCAAAATAGCTGCAATTCCTGTAAGCCAGGATCTATAGTAGATACGACCATAAAAACACCGGAACACTGAGTCCGGCGCGTCTTAGGGTCTAAAATAACCATTTTGGATCCCCATTATCCCCCTAGTCTACTGCTATTTGCACTCTGGTGACTATAGTGTTATAACTACTAAAAGCACAGACTTTATTTCAATAATTCCATATTGCTATACAATTTTGACTGAGTGCAGAGGCCAAAGTATTACCTTGGCACTTGGCCAATGTACACTATACAAGGATAAAGGACACCTTGCTGTGTTTACTAATGAAGCTGAAGCTTCCTTCCCTTAACTACATTGTTACATATCCAACGTATTTTGTTTCTAAGGAATAAAACGAGTATTTCCCTGAAGAAACCAAAAGGTTTATATCTTTCCTTCGTCACTTCATAGTAAAATAAGGAAAAGATCTAAGCAAAAGTCGTAATTCGAAACCAGGTTAGAACTAAGAACGCAATCTTCCGCATTTGTCTGGGACACACGACTGACATGATACGATAATTTTATTCGCTTTAACTCGTAAATAGGACAATTTAAGAGAATATCCTGTCCAGCTAGTTACACTGTATTTTACGACACTGCGGAATTACCGTTTTACTCAATTACATGTATGTTTCTCGTCAGATACCTGATTACAACGCAGTTCGAGGCTATATCAGCTCGCAAGGCGTTCCCCTGCTTCGACGAGCCGATGTACAAGGCCACCTACTCCATCGTCATTGGACATCACAAGGACTACACCGCGATCTCCAACATGCCTCTCGAGAACTCTGTTTCAGAAAAGTAAGTATCTACATTATGCATTATTAAGTCATAAAGTGAGGGTATTTAGGAATTTCTTCAAAGAAGTTACTAAGTAAGTATTCTAAATGGATTCACATAATCACATCACATTTAATAAATCTTGTACTTTGTTCTAGTGCTCTCGAGGACCACTGGCCATGGAGTCAAATTGAGAAGAAGTTCATGTAAGTAACTAATTCATATATCCAACAAAATTGTTTAAACGATAATTATTAATTAGGTATGGGGACTCTCTCTAAGACCAATAATATTTAACAGGATCCAGCCAGTTTACTAAAATACTTTTTATCTTCCAGGAAACCCAAATCTGATTTCGTGTGGGACTCGTATGAGAAGTCGGTGGCTATGTCCACCTACCTGCTGGCCTTCGTGGTCTCCAAATTCTCCTTCGTCCAGAGCCCTCCAGAGCTCTCGGATACGAAGTTCAGGATATGGGCACGACCTGATGCTTTAGACCAGGTATGAAGTAGCTAGTGTACCTGTTTCATGTAAAGGTACCTACTAGATTTCGTCCTATTGAGCATTTCATCAAGTTAAGTCGTCATGGAAGTCAATAAACTTGCTCGATGCGAGGGTCGAAGGAAGAACCTCGAAACAACTTACTCATGAGAGATGTCTCTTATATCTTCTAACAGCAGTTACTTTTTTTGTAATCACCTAACTCTAAAACTTTTATGACTATATACTTGGTTTATCCACAGACGGCCTACGCTTCCACGACTGGTCCCAAGGCCCTGTCATACTTCGAGCAATGGTTCAACCTGAGCTACCCGCTGCCCAAGCAGGACATGATCGCCATTCCAGACTTCGCATCAGGTGCCATGGAGAACTGGGGCCTCATCACTTACAGGGAGAAGGATCTGCTGTATGATGAGAAGCAATCTTCCTTCTTGAACAAGGAGAGAGTTGCTACTGTAAGCGTTTTTGGAAATTGTTTATTTAGTTTAGAATTTGTTTACAATAACTGTCAATTAGTCTGTTAAGTAGTGAACAATTAGACGTATTTTTTTCAGTGTATCAAATTTTAAATGCCAAATAACCTAATAGGGAATACAACTAAAAATGGGAAGCAGTTGCGATCTCCTTCATAAATACCTTTTCACATAATTGACAAACGTATCTTTGCCATCTTGGATTTTGACTTAATGCGTCGTAACAGAGTAGCAAATTAACTTAACAGATGTACTTAAGATCTTAAAAACAACTTCCTACCCTCAGGTAATAGCCCACGAGCTCGCCCACCAGTGGTTCGGAAACCTGGTGACCATGAAGTGGTGGTCAGACCTCTGGCTGAACGAGGGTTTCGCGACCTTCGCAGCCACCGTCGCCGTGAACCATGTGGAACCGACGTGGAACGCGGACAAGAGTTCAGCAGTCAATGATATGCTACTCATCTTGAACTTGGACGCTCTTGAGTCTTCACATCCCGTAAGTGGTATATTACATGCAACCAAATGTGTAAAAAAACAATAATTATATGGAGGTGGTCCGTACGCCAAACGAGTAGATCACTTGATGATAAGCATTTGGCGCCGCCTATGAGCAACAATAGAGGAGTTTCAAATCTGTTGCTGGCCTTTTGGGGATTGGGAATAGGATGGCATTAATAAAAACTGACTTCATATTTATAATTCCAGGTGTCAGTCCCTATCGATGACCCCAAGCGTATCTCTGAGATCTTCGATGACATCTCTTACCAGAAGGGATCCACCCTCATCAGGATGATGACCATGTTCTTAGGAGATGAAGTCTTCAGGAAGGCCATTAACAAGTGAGAGTCTTAAATATAAATTATTTGTTGGAACTACGAAAATATCACTTATGTATCTCATGCTTGTAATGTGTTGTCCTCTGTAATATTGTCTGCTGTATGGTGTCCGTGAAATGATAAATAAATATTAAATTAAGATTCAATTTGGTGCCATGACGTAAAAATTTCTTCCACGTGCATTATTGAGAATGTCGAAACCCAAAGAGAAATGAAACCTATGTCGGCACTTCCAATTTCAGCAAACATTAATTCGCCTTCTTCTATCTTCATCCACCAGCTACCTTCGCAAGTACTCCTACAACAACGCGGAGCAGGACGACCTCTGGCTGGAACTGACGGCAGTCAGCAAGAAGTATGGAGTCCTGCCTAGTAACGTCACTGTCAAGGATATCATGGACACCTGGACCAAACAGACCGGGTACCCCATACTAACTGTCACCAGGGATTATGAGGACAAGTCCATCACTGTGTCACAGGTGAGGAATGATAATCTGTGATTCTAATTTAAAATTCGTAAGGTGTAGTATTATTAGTACATATGTTAGTGATACTGAGATAAAGACGACTAGAATTCATTTAATCTTTTAATTTTTAAATTATCTTCTCCCGTATTCGTTTCCGAAAGATTTTTGCAATAAGGCTGAATATAATAATAGTTTCACTATAAAAAATGATGTTTTGTAAAATTGAAACATGCTGGGATTAAGTTGGGTGTAACTTTCTAAATATTCGTTAATTTTACTGCTTGGAAATGGTAAACTAGATTAAGTATAGTGCCATTATCATTATCATCATCATCATCATCATATAATTTCAGTCTAAGTTCACCTTCTGTTTTTTCTTGGCACTATAGTCAACCGATAGCACTTAGATGGCCCAATTCCCATTTCCTGAAGCTTAAATAAGTGTGTGTACCGTTACAGCGTCGCTACCTGTCCCTGGCGGCTCGCTCGACGTCGCTGACGTCGTGGTGGGTGCCGCTGAGCGTGGTGTGCGAGCCGGAGGCCCGCGGCCCGCCGCCCGCGCTGCGCTGGCTCGCCGCCAACCAGGGACTCACTAAACTACATCGGTTCGAACATGGGGCCGAGAGAGATCATTGGCTACTGTTCAACCACAATATGATCGGTTAGTACCATCATACGTAACATTTCTGCCGTGCAAAGGCCGGTTTGGTCTATCTGATCTCCTTCTAGCCTTCATTATGTAGAACTTTCTGCGGCTAATCCTCGTGGAAGAAATTAAGTCTACCATCTCTTGCAAAGAAGTCTTTATTATTATAAAGTCTATCTTTATTATAGTCATATATTATTCAACCCAATCGAAGTTGCGGCTTTGTGACTTTATAAATGAAATTTTTAAAATCTGAATACCCAATGACACACTACCTGAGTCCGATATCTCGAAAACACCTTGGCTTGAACAACGAGTCAATGTGAGTAATTGAATTGTAACTTAAACATTATTGTAATTAAGTCCAATCTTCCGTCCAGCTCCCTACCGCGTGAACTACGACACTCGCAACTGGCAGTTGTTGTCTAACGCGCTCAAGTCCAACGAATACACTCGTGTACCACTACTGGGCAGGGTTCAACTCCTGTCTGATGCCTTCGCACTCGCCTGGACCAACCACCTCGAATACTCCACCGTACTCAAGTAAGTATCTACGCTCCATTATCCCACGTTACTTGGTGCAAAATTGTCTTCTTACACTCTTACGGCCGACATTATCCCAAAATCTCTTGATGGATCTGAGTTTTATAAGGATACTAGGTACATAAAATTAAAGGTGAAAACCCAATCCAAAATCTTTTGTTTTAGATCAGATGTTGGTCGGTAGACGTCACTACAACACTAACTCACTTTTTTTAAAACTTATATTAAACGTTTCATTTCCCATCTTCAGCTTAGCATCCTACCTCCAGCATGAGACAGAGTACCTCCCTCTGTACACCGGCCTCAGAGGATTGATGCAAATTGAGAACGTTCTGAAACGGTCTCCAGACTACGGCGCCTTCCAGAAGTTTGTGAGGAAACTCATCGGTGATGTATATGTACGGTCGGGAGGACTCGCCACCAAGAAGATCCTCAACGGACATGACTTGAACAGCGTCAAGATGCAGGTCAGTAGCAGGGTGCTGTAAGCGTAGGGTATAACTTGGGAGATTGGACTTATTCCTGTGATTCATGAACCATGGTAGTAGTTTCGAAATTTGCTGCCAAAAAAACTTAATGGAAAATGTTTCCTGTCCCTCCAGTGATTCCTTCCGATTCATTTTAAACGTTTTCGTGTTGAACTTTATTTCATTAACTAAAATCACGGGTTACTGACGCGACGTTACTCACAACCACAGAGGTTCGAAACTAGTACAGCTTTTCTCAGTATATTCACGTGAGTAACCCGCGATTTTACTTAATTTAGTATGTCGCACGATAGTTATTATAAAAACAAAACTTTATTTCAATGGTGATCTACTTCAATGGTTTTTGTATGATGACTGCAGTAGGCCATGCTCTCTGTTGTCTCAAAATCAATAAATGATGTTCGTTCACATGGTTATAACTTGTTACCAGGTTACAATCAGCTCTTGGGCGTGCCGCATGAAGGTCCCTGGGTGCGAGGAGAACGCCATACAACTCTACAAGCAGTGGATGGACACTGAGAATCCAGACGAGAACAACCCGTGAGTAGACTATGCAGTGACGAATTAAGCTGTAGCCTCGGGCCTCAGCCCACGTAACTGTTTGACGAAATCACTCGACGAGTTTTAAGCCATGCTAGGGGCTCATAGTCATGAACAGCATTGCTCAAAGGTAATGCGGTGAGTTTTGCGGAGCTAATTTTAATGCATGATCAGTTTTTGGTGTTCCTTGAAGAGGGAAAATCATCCAATGACTTCTCCCGTTCGTCCCCCGTCTCCGTTCTCACTGACTAAAAACCACCCCGTTCCTACTCCTACTCTTCGAACCGGAGGAGCCCCGGTAACCCATTAACTCTTCTGCGACTCCGTATCTTTAGCTAGCATAACTGTTTTGCCGAAGCAGTAGTGAACATCGCAGTGAGTGAGGCAGTGTTGATACGAACCGTGTGGTTGCAGCATCCCGCTGGACCTGCGGCGCACGGTGTACTGCGTGGGCGTGTCGCGCGGCAGCGTGGCGGAGTGGCGGTGGGCGCTGGCGCGCGAGCAGCGAGCCAACGTGGCGGCCGCGCGCTCCGCGCTGCTCGCCGCGCTCACCTGCACCAAGGACGTCTGGATACTCGCGCAGTCAGTACTACCTGCACTACCCACCACATACTTGCAAGAACCGACCTTTATCCGAAATCTGTTGATCGATCTTGATTTTTGATAGAAACTCCAGAAAATTAATTTCAAATTTTTTATTATGTATATTAAGTTGTCATCGATCGATAAACGCTTCTTTACTCACGAAGCGTATCGCGAATGTATCACACACATATAATAATAGCAACACAAAGTGCCAATGACTGCACGTTGGTTGTTGCGGTGGCTGGGCAACTGGCTGCCACGGAACGTGTCGCGGGTTCGATTCCCACACGGAACAATTCTCGGTGTGACCCACAGATTATTGTTCGGGGCCTGGGTGTCATGTGTATATGAACTTGTATGTTTGTAAACGCACCCACGACACAGGAGAAAATCCTAGTATGAGGCATTAAAAAAATTATAATAATAAAAAAGCACACATCAATTACCGTAGGAAATGATTACTGTCATAAAGATGCGAATATTGTAACCAAACTTTGAGCAATATCATGAAGTATCTGCCTCTACCTCAGGTACTTGGAGTGGACAGTAACCGAAGGGTCTGGCGTGCGCAAGCAGGATGTGCTGCCAGTCATCGTGAACATCATCAGGTCGCCCGTCGGGTACTACGTCGCTAAGGACTTCATCTACACGAGGGTCGAGGAGATTTACAACACGTGAGAATTCAATATTTATATCTTTTTTATAGCATAAGCCGATAAACAGGCACACGGATCACCTGATGGTAAGCAATCGGCGTCGCCCATGGACACTCGAAACACCAAGGCGTTCCAAGTGCGTTACCGGCCTTTTGGGAATTGGGAATTTGAAAATTAATTGGGTCTCCGGTAACCTCACTTACACGACGAAACACAACGCAAGCGTTGCTTCACGTCGGTTTCCTGTGAGGCCGTGGTATCACTCCGGTCGAGCCGGCCCATTCGTGCCGAAGCATGGCTCTCCCACACTTAAAATCTATTTTAATAATTGTATTTGTTTATATTTACAAGTATTAAATACTGATGATTATTTTGTTGACGCTCCAGATTTAAGGGCCAGTACAGACGTATGGGAGAGATGATCAAGACACTACTGCAGCAGTTCACTACACAGAGAGAGCTGGACGCTGTGAGTTAACAGATAACTTTTACACACATATTAAAATCACGCCTTTTATCCCCGAAGTGGTACACATCACGGCACTTAATGCCACTGTACAATGTAACACCCACTTTTCACTATTTATGTTATGAGTCCCATGTAATAGGGGGTGAGCCTATTGCCATAGAGGTATACCGGGCACAATTACAGACTCCGTGCTACTACTGAAATTTTTTTAAAAAGCCCTGTAGCACTAGATAATTTTTATTTTTGTAACTTCCATTATTCAATTGAAACACAGGAAGGTCTAAAAGATTATTAAACATCTTGCTACTTCATTTCGAGAATATAATAAGATTAAGACATTTGCCAAGTCTCATAAATAAAATGTTAATTTTTCTCTTCAGTTCCTGGAGTGGCGTGAAAAGAACGGCCAGTACTTAGTGGACTCTAAGTTGGCAGTGGAACAAGCCATCGAGAACGCTAAGGTCAACATCAACTGGATCACAAAGAACAGGAAGAATGTCGTCGATAAACTCAGGGAGTTTTCCACGTAAGGAGTTTACTTACGTCACCGTTTGTCAGGGGAATAACGTGCAGAAGGTTTGCTGGCATTAAACTTTCGCATTTAGATCTTGGAGTTACATCAACTGAAAGTATAATAAAATGTCCCCTTTTTTCTTTAAATTGTGTTTTGTGGTTGTCATTGTTAAATTTTCTGACAAAATCCCCCCCTTATTATTGGTTCCAAAATAAATAAGTAGGTAGCTATTCTCCTGACAAAACACGTGAAGTGAAATTAGCAAGAAATGAGGCCAGTAGGTCCAGTAAGAGTCCTAGTGCTTCTAAGTAGTGACTAGTAGCTAGATAAGTAGACATTGTAATAATTTGTATGTACTTAATGTGGCTGACATTTAAATAAATCAAAGCTTCGTAGGTATAAGTAGCGTGTCGCTTTATTAGTAATTCTCACAAATAGCTGATTGACCGACCTAGTAATGAATTAATTTTGTATGAAGTAAAAGCGGCCTTTTCCTAAATCCGGCTCGCCCATGAAACTGTAATTTAAAAATGATTTTAGAAATTGAATATTTCAATTTATCAACAGTATTTTATAGGTATCAGTATATTGACTTGAAATGTTTAATTTCTATGATCGATCGAGTAGGTACTTAACTACACGTAGAACAAAATAACCTGATACAAGCAGTGTAGAGCAAACGGTAGTTAGAAAGCAAGTTTTTGTAACATTTAGTTTATTTTTAGTCCGCGACGACAGCCTGGGACGCCGCGGAAAGGACAGCCTAGCTTCATGAGTTCTATATTTGCGATACACAACATTTCTAGAGCTCGGCTGAGGCCGTTTGAGTATTACGTCGGAAAATAGGCTTTATTATGATAGGAATAAAGACTGTGACAATATTTCAGACAGCGAAAGGAATTGAGGCAACAAGCTTCAACGTATGAATTTTTTAATTACATAAAATCAAATGCTGGCAGTTTTTTTTTACTTTTTCTCAACCTCGCAATGCTCTGCCGTACACACATATTGTTTTTTTTTAATTAATTCTGGCTTTATATGTTTGTGTTGCCAATTACTTTTAATGACTTCAATCTTAGTTACCAGTGACAAAATGTTTTCATTCGTTTAACACAATCAGCCTCTTATGTTTTATTTGTTATTATTTGTATTTAATTTTTAAGTTTTAGATGAATCTTGATAGAAAAAATCTAAATAATTATGTATTTCTTCATTTTTTTAATCATTTGTGGCAATGATAATGATGGTTTTAATTCTATTTTAAATAATTTGTAGATATATTGGAATACCGTTGGCATAATGTATAGTTATTTATTGTTAATGGTATAATAACTCCGTCCAGTACAAGTTTATGAATCGTTACTTATTTCATAAAAATAGAATTAAAAAATAAATGTCTAATTATATTTATTTGTTTTGTTTTATTTTAATTTCATTCATTTTTGTTGCTTTTTTGACAGTCCACTTAATGCTTTTGTTCAAGAAGAGGTGAGTTTTTCTTTGTTTTATTTTGTAAATATTATTTTGCACACATCATGACATCTAGGTATATGCTGAGGGTGTTTTAGTTAATTACTTTTTCTTTTCTAATATCGAGCTTATTCTAAATTTTCGTGAAAACACGAATCGACGTGACACACGATGTATTTTCTATTGTGTCTCTTACCGGTGCATTCGATAATGAACGGTGATGCGATATTGATGTAGGACTTGATTTCTTTGAGTATTCATTAGTGTAATGCTCGCTCTAGAAGGTCAGGGACCTGAGTTACAGGAAAGAAAAGAGAAAATCGGTTTACTTCTGCCAAAATTCTTACCACTAGATGGCGTTAAGTAACATAAGGTCTTGTTTGCTCGAATCACTGTAGTTATGATTGCACATTCATAATATATTGAGCTAACACTGGACTAGCGATCCTGGCGGTAGCCCAATTGAGCTACTAGATAGTTAAATTTTAATATCATATTTCAGGCAATTCGAAAAAACATCACAAATCAACCACGGGATGCACAGTGCTGCCATCACGGGCAGTGTGCAAGTTTTCACCGTACTCATACCGCTTTACCCACATTTTATGAGAAACTAGCTATTTTTTATTACAGAAACTGTTGTTTTATTTTCCTTACTACTTAGGACAATTCTTACTCAACCATAGTGCTCAAGATTATTATCTTTATTTGTAATCTTACATTGCAGCATATTGCTGTATAGTTCATAAGTTCTTAAAAAAAGATCTGACAAGAATGAAAATTAGGTATTATTTTATAATTTTTTCTATGCTCGGTTGTTGCTTGTCTGCCAACTTGTCTGGTGGTAAGCGATGATGTGGCCCACGATGGAGCGTGCCAGCCCATGTTCATAGTTTTTCAAATTATAAACACTCAGATTCTTCGAAAAGATAAAGGAGGATAATTTACTTAGACATTTGAACCGGAAAAAGTATTAAACTATATCAAAATTACCAACTCCCTTATTTTTATCACCAATTATTTCCACTAGTCAGTTTTTAACAAAAATACGTTATACTAGTTGTTGCGACTTCGTCCGCGTAGAATATGATTTCTGTTTTATCTCATGGGAGTATTTAATCGGTGTAAAAATCACTGTATCCTAATCAAGTATCCTATCACCTAAGTCAGCCCATATCCTGCCTATATACCAAATTTCATCAAAATCTGTTTTTTTTTATGGCATATGCTAAACGAGCAGACGGATTACCTGATGGTAAGCGATCGGCGTCGCACATGGACACCTGGAACACCAGAGGCGTAGATGCGCTAAGATGGAGGAACCTAAAGACGAATTTGAAATTTATGGCCAGTATGTGGCATCTGAATTGAAAAATGTGAAAAACCAAAGAGCACTGTTACAGGCCAAGTATTACATAAATAATATATTGCTACAAGCGAGAATGGGCAATTTCGATAGTAATTATTTTGCTGGATATCAAGGCTATGGAGATGGATGGCTCGGCTATGGCGACGGATACCGCTCCACATCATCAACATCGACATATGCTGATGCATCTACACCAACGCAGACACCAGAACCCCAAGTCCATACTGCTACTGGTGACGAGTTGCGCTTTAGTAATCTTGACGAAATAGTTTCCCAGTTGGAAGATGACACACAATAAATAAATTGATGTGATTTGATTTAAATATTTGATAAATACCTACTTGAGTGATTTGAATTTATTTTATTTTACTCACCTTTACATAGTCCTTTAAAACTTTTGTCAATTCCTGACAAACTTCTCGTATAATCTTGCTGATTAATTGTTTTGATACTTTAAAAGTATATGACAGTGAGCCATATGAGTCACCTGTTGCAAGAAACCTTAAAGTTATAGCTAGTCTTCTCTGGGGCTCAATAGGATGCCGAAATTTCGTTTCCTGTTTTGTTATGGCTGGTCCAATCAATCTCAGTAAAATTTCAAAATCTGATGTTGACATTCTCGTGAAATTTTGAAAAGACCCATCAAATCCACGAAGGTCATGAAACACATAACTTCTATTTAAAAGATAATTTCGAATCCACCACCTTTTCTTCTTTTTTTTTCTAGTAGCACTCTTATGTAATATTATATAAGCAGCACAGAGCATCACTACCTCCTCGGGCGACATCCTGGCAACAACTGAGAAGTGTGGACTGCCAAGTTTCAGAAACAGTGTTTACGGTAAACTTGTTAATAAACCCGTCATAAACAGTTTATTAACAAATGTTGCCTAATGAATACTCGGCTTTACCGGCCTTTTGGGGATTAGGATTTGAGGATTCAGGAATTGGGGAGATTGGGGAAGGGAGGGTAATTTGGCCTCCGGTAACCTCACTCACGTGACGAAACACAACGCAAGCGTTGCTTCACGTCGGTTTTCTGTGAAGCCGTGGTATCACTCCGGTCGAGCCGAAGCATGACTGTCCCACACTGTTTAGTAGTTTCAGTGTGATAGTCACACAACTTGTGTTTATTAAAATTTCTAAATCTGATTCATTCCGAGGACTTTACAACTGTCAACTTGAATGACAACTTTACAAATGTCATTCAAGAACTATGTGCCTGGGGACAATACGATATTTTTAATGCAACTGATTATTGGAATTAATATTAACCAAAATGCCTTCCTTAAGATGCAATATATTTATTTTATTGATAATATCCTTTTACACTGACAGTTCGGGAGAAGCAATAAATTACTTTAGAGGGCATTTTACGACTGTCACATAGTTTTTGAGATATTTTACATTCAATAATTACATATACAATGGATCTAATAAAACATGAAACATATACATTGTATTAATTTCTCTCTCGGGCGCAACTGCACCACTTTATGTTTGTTGCCCCTAATGAACAGGAAAATCTGAGGACATGCAAGTACAAAATAAAAATACAGTTTTATTTGTATAAATCTATATTGTATAATAAAAACTGTTGAGTGTATACTTATGCTAGAGTAAATAATACTTTACAAAATGCTTCAATTTCGACATATCGACGCATCGGACGATGGCACCGCAGGTAACTTTAGTATACGATCTGTGTTATACTTGTACACGTTTAAATACGTTGTATTAGGTAATATTTTTTTTAAACGTTGCCCCACAATAACATTTTCTCCTGTGTCGTGAGTGCGTTTGCAAACATATGAGTTCACATACACATGACACTAAGCCCGAAACAACAGTTTATGGATTACACAAAGTGTTGTTTCGTGCGGGAATCGAACAGGCGGCAAGCTGCATGGCAGCCGGCTGTCCAGCCACCGCACCAGCCGTGCAGTCCATATATTAAAGGTACTTAATAGATTTAAGGTACTTGTCACTTAGTAGCCAAGGACAATATTTCTCAAAACAAACATGATATTTCACAGCATGGGTAACAGTACCTTTAGTTTAGTTAACTTCTAAGAAAACAGAACAGAGGCCATCGACACGACACCACGTTCGGCGTTCTAACTGGCCGGCTTCAATGAACCAATCAATCAGGGCCGAATACGGTCTCGATTACATAACATAACATCATGCCTTTTATCCCCGAAGGGGTAGGCAGAGGTGCACATTATGCCACTGTACAATGTAACACCCACTTTTCACTATTTATGTTATGAGTCCCATGTAATAGGGGGTGAGCCCATTGCCATATACCGGGCACAATTCCAGACTCCGTGCTACTACTGAGAATTTTTTTAAAAACCCAGTAATACTTTGCCCGACCCGGGAATCGAACCCGAGACCCCTTGCCCGGCAGTCGCACTTGCGACCACTCGACCAATGAGGCAGTCTCGATTACTTTAAACGTAAAACAACGTACTAAGCCCTCTGACACATTTTACAGCTGTTTCGGTATCACTACATAGTATAAAACAAAGTCGCTATCCGCCGTCTGTCTATCCCTATGTATGATCTTTAAAACTACGCAACGGATTTTGATGCGGTTTTTTTAATAGATAGAGTGATTCTTAAGAAAGGTTTATATGGAACGTATATTACATGTATATGGCACCCGTGCGAAGCCGGAGCGGGGTCGCTAGTGTTGTATATTACGCGTCCCATGTAACAGGAGTGAGCAACTATTAAAAAAAACAATATTTCTTCCAATTAGACCGTCATTGAAAACAGTAATAATGAAGAACCGTTACTTATACATATTTAAACATGAACAAGACAACGCAAGCAGTATCCACAACATAGTTAACTTTACAATACAATAAGTAATCATAATAAACTATACAATACTATAAACATTTTACTTAGAGTATTTCAGATCATTCCAGTTATAACTAAACCACTAACTAATAATATAATAATGTAATCAAATCATTAATTACGTTTTACAGTTTACTCACGTAACTAGACGAGGTGACTCGATTAGTTTCGAGCCACGGTTGGGACTCATAGTCAAGCAAGCGTCACTGAGTAAGCTGTAAAATATAATGAATGTCTCGCGAGAATTATAATCAAATAACTATAATGATAACAATATTGTAATAGGTAATTGTCATATATGTTATAATATCTCTCAAGAGTAGTTACGTCTCGTTCTAATAGGTAGTGTTGAAAGAGATAGCAGATGAAAAGAAAATGCTTTGTGTCTATTGGTACATTATACTAAGATGTGTCCATTCATATAGAAATTACATTTAAACACTTTAGTAATTTACCACAACCAAAAGATGTAGCTAAGGTTGTCATTTCTCAAGTTTAAATAAAATAAAATAAAAATATAACAAAATTCAATTTTGAAAAATTCCCTATTCAAATACTTTGATAAAAATAAATGCTTTTCAATCACAATCCAATTAAAGAATAAATAAATACAAAATAATTTCGATACACAACCAAAAATTTTTAATAATTTACTATAATTTTTTTTAGTAGACAACATTAAATATTTATTCTAATGGCAACTCTGGACAAGATGGCAGAAAAAAACGAATAATAAAATTGGCACAAATACATTTATAAGGCACTCTTCATGTACTATACATTAAAATATTAATTTTACAATAAAAACGTCTTTACTAATTAATTATAATAGTAGTAGATATAATAATATCAACTTGTCATAGTGAACCTTACTTAATATATCAATTCCTTTAGATATGTCTGTTTTGAAATCAATTTTATGTCTAGATAGACTGTCAACGCCAGAATAACATAGTCTTTTTATATATGGCAAGTACATCAAATGTCGTACCCAAGCAGTGTACCCAATTTCTGTAAGGTATGATCTACAGTAAGGACCATAAAACACAGTCGAATTGAGAACCTTCTCCTTTTTTGAAGTTGGTTAAAAAGTCGCCGAAACTATGAAGCCACGATTACCATTTTTATGTAAGAAAATCTTTTTATTTTAATTGCAGTATTTTGTCAACTGGTAATACTTTTTTTTTAAGGGGGGAAGGGAAAATCATCGAATGACTGCTCCCGCCTGGGTGAGGCGGAAGGGAGTGTCAGACTCTTACTGGTAATATTACGAGCACACATTTATACACGTCGAACACACCAAAATAAATAACCGCTAGACAATCAATCAGTCCGTCAGTCATTCTTGTTTTACTTAAATAGTGCGACAGTTCTCAATAATCTAGACATAAAATTGACCAAATAAAATCCTTATTTCAATAACAATAGCTTCTCAATTCGTATAGCACGTGTCTCTTAAGCTAGTACAAAATAATTTGATAAGTACCTATGAAACTTGGCTTTAAAAATTGGCAACTTCATAGATAACATATAAAAAGTAATATTAGTACAATGTATGTTTATTTTATTGTAAATATCTATAACAATATTTTATGAGAACATTATTATAAAAATGCTATTTGTCTTGGAACAAAATATAGTCTAAATAAGTTTATTTTTGTTCATATTGAACAAGTTATTAATGCTTGACAATGATATAACATTACACCTGTTTGTGAAAGGGATTGTCATAGTCGTTATGGTTGTAATTCTTGTAGTATTAAAAAGACATTGACTAAATAAGCATCTGTTCAAAATGTATAAGTACATTGCTTGTCTCGAAAGGTATATAAACGATAGTCTTGTCTTGAAAGGAAAATAAAAACGACATAGTCATAGTCAGATAGTTTGATCTAAATAGAATACTCAGCAACAATGGGGGCTACCCTCTTATGCCCACCAGGTGGCGCTAACATAGTTAATAAAATGATTCAATATCTTAGCTAATATCATCGGACCTTTAATTTTGGACAGTTATAATAACCTCATACATACATCAGCGCTATTTGAAGGGCAAAAAAGCAGTAGTCCTCGATTGTGTCGAAGGGTACCTTTAGTCCTCGACGTCCCTCAGACGTCGGGTTCCACAAACCCAGGTCTAGCAGTAGTCCTCCTCTTGCGCAGAGTGCCGAGTATGGCGAGCATCTCCTTCACTGCCTCGGGCTGTTCCTCCTTGGCCTTCTTCTCTGTGAACTTCTGGTCGGTGGACTTCAGGTGGAACTTACCTCCCTTGATCTGATCTACTATTGCATCTATTGCACCACCTGGAAGTCGTTTGTAGTTGTTGTTAGTTTATATAAATAATAATTTTATCAGGGTACATTAGAAATTCAATTTACGAAGCCTACATAGTTCATTTAAAATGGTCAATTGGTCAAGACCATGCATGGTATGATAACAAAAATTTAAAGGACAAACCACAATTTTGAATTTCGTAAGATGGGATGTGGGTTAACTAAAAATCGCTCTAAACTACTAGCTCTGTGGTTCGAAACTAGTCGAGCTTTTCTCAATATATTCACGTGAGTAACCCGCGATTTTTCGTTAATTTAGTATGTCTCACGATAGTTATTATAAAAACATGGGAAGGTGGTGTTTAAAATTAGTCTAATATGCAACCGATTGTGCCTAAATCTGCTGACCTGTTTCATAATTAAAACTTTGTTAAGATGAACCTTATACAGCGGACCTCTATGCCAGTTAACATAATAAGGATAAATTAGTCTAAAAACAATTATTCGGCACATTTACACATACATATATATTTACACAAGACAGGACATTTTAATAAATACAGTGTTACTAACCACAGTCGGCGCCATTCTGCTTGCTCTTCCTGAGTGTGCCACTTTTGTTGGCCAACATCTGCGCCATGTCGTCCGCGCCCGACGACTCGAATGCCATCGGCGCTGGAGGGGGAGGGGGTGGCGGCGGGGGAGGGGGAGGGGGCGCCGCCATGGGAGGGGGAGGGGGCGGGGCTACTGGTGCAGGTGGGGGAGGGGGCGGGGACACGGAAGGAGCGGCCGGTGGAGGTGGGGATGGTGGGCGCTCTGCAGGTTGCGGTGGGGATGCACTTGTTGTTGGAGCTGGAGAACAAGATAGCATAGATTGTACTTTTTATTCGTTGAACATGGGAGACAAATTAATAATATGGGCCAAGCTATCAGAAATGTCAATACAATAGTCTTCAACAGTTTTCTGGCAATCAAAAGTCTTAAACTAAAAAAAATAATTTAGAGTAACTTTCCCAACTCTACTACTATTATAATAAACCAAAAACTCACCAGTAACTGCTTCAATTTCCTCTTTAACCTCATCCATCTTCTTCTGTCCCCCTTGCTCGAAGTAAGATATCCTGGCCATCAACTTATCCCTGGGCTGTGGCCTGGCGTTCCTCTGCTGAAGTTCCTTCAGTTTCCTCTCCGCAGCCTCGGCCCTTTCTAGAGCTTTCTGCGCGTCCTCCTCAGCCAGACGGATCTTTTCCTCCCATAGTAAAATGTCTGTGTCCTCGTGTTTCTCTGCTAGTTTCAACTGTAAGATTGTGCATAAGATTAATTTACACATTTATTTTTCTTAGTGTGGTTTATGCAGATATTGACCATCTATCATATTACGCAGATAATAAATATAGCGCGAGTACTTCTGTACAGTCAGTCGACACCCGACCGGCATGTAGGAGGGGTAATACGCGCACCAAACCATTACTAATACCTATATGGTACATGGTAGTATCTATATGGTTACATAACTGAGTGTCGAACCATTGGCATACCAACCGAAGGACATCACAGTATACATATCAATTCAAGGGTTTTAATTGTCGATTTGTCAATAAACATGGATTGGACCAAAAATAGAGCCCTGTGGAACACCTACCGTAACTTCAAGCTTAACATGGCATAGACCAGCTTTCTAGATACTATTATTTAACTTTTTAGATAATTTAAATAAGTATTTTTTATTTACTTCTTAATGGTAAAAAATGTAGTTAACTTGGTAATAAATAACGTGAAGCAAACTATCAAACGCCTTCAACGGGTAGTAGAAAAATCAAAACGTTGTTCAAACCATCCCACGCATTTTATATTCAACTAAATCAACACTGGACATAAACCATTCAATTCTTCCTATAGAAATTGCCTAATAGATTAAGCATTATACCATACTCGAAATGTCAAACATTCATATGTATGATACATGTGTATTGAGGTGTAAAAATGCCCATAATTATTAACAGTATAGCATAATTCCCCACCTGTAATTCATCGAGCTGGTCCCTGTGCCTAAGTGCCTGGTCTTCCAGTGCATCCTTGAGACAGTCCACCTCGTGTAACAGTCTCTGCAGTCTCTCATCGGGCGGTAGGTCGCCCCCTAGTAAGGAGCCCATCAGTAGACTGCTCTGGTGTGTCAGTAGCTTCACTCGCTTCTTCGCTGCGCGGGCTTCTGTTCTGTATCTGTAGTCAAATGGTAAGATCTTGGTAAGTCAGTGTTCTGTCGACTCTTCGTGAAATAAACACGTAAAGATTGATGTTTCATTTTTTATGGCAGATACCGGTAAACGAACAAATGGTGATCCATTTGCTTACCTTGCTTGCTTACACAGGCGGTTGCGGGCGGCTTATTATTTATTACCTGATAGTAAGCAATCGGCGCCACCCGTGTAACAGGCCTTTTGGGGATTAGGAATTGGAGGATTGTTGGGGATTAAAGAATTCTCGGGACATTGGGGAAGGGGGGGGGGGTTGGCCTCCTGTACATAACGAAACAACGCAAGCTTTGCTTCACTATGGTTTTCTGCTCGGCCGTGGTATCACTCCGATCAAGCCGGACCTATTCGTGCCGAAGCTTGTGATGATGAATTCTAGTGCCAGTGTTAATAGAATAACTCACGTCTCAGCCATCTCCCGGTCCTTGTCAGCATTATTCTTCAGGCCGGTGACTTCCTCCATGAGTAGCTTGGACACTCGGTTGTGTCTCTCCAGTTGGATGCGTAGCTCCTGCAACTCCTTCTCCTGCGCCGCTGACTTCTCTTTCTCTGCTTCTAACTCCTGGAACGAATTTTCGTTGGTTAAGAACATTTGATATCTATACATTTAAGTAAAACTTAGGAATATTTATATATTAAAGACTTTTTTCCGTTGTAATTAATTAATGTGATTGATGAATTAAAAAGTCCAGCCTCAATTTGATGGTGTCCTGATGAATAAGGGTTTGAAATCGCCTCTATATAGTAGTAGACACAATAACATGTGAACTGCCTCGTTGGCCAAGTGGTCGCAAGTGCGATTGCTGGGCGAGGGGTCTCGGGTTCGATTCCTGGGTCGCGCAAAGTATTACTGGGTTTAAAAAAAAATCTCAGTAGTAGCAAGAAGCCTGAATTTGTACCCGGTATATGACAATAGGCTCTCATCTATTACATGGGACTCATAACATAAATAGTGAAAAGTGTGTGTTATATTGTATAGTGGGATTAAGTACCGTAATGTACACCTCTGGATTTGGAGATAAAAAGTGATGTAATATGTGGACCAAAAGAAATAACTGACGTTCAAAGAAAGCTGGTTGGGTTAGTAGAACTTTACAACTTCTTAGTGTCAACGAATGAGTTTAAACTTTGTAGAACTTGAAATACTTCTAAATCTCTGAAAGGATACCGGTGTGCTCTCTCACTCACTTCATTGTAGACCTTATTTCCGATGTAAAGAAACTACTTTTGTATGAACACTTTTGGGTATAACATGAACCAGTAGTTGTACCTACTACGGCCGAGTAGACGTCTTTTACACTTAGGATATGAGCCTCTAGCATGACTTGACACTAGTCGAGTTCCTCGTCAAAGAGTTAGGCGATTAAGCCGAAAACATAATAATTACTTAACATAAGGTTGAAGGTATACCTGTCCAATAGCGACATTGGCCTCATGGGCCTCGAACTCATGCAGCTTGGCCGTCTGCAGGTCTGTCTGTAGGGCGGCCACCTGCGCTGACAGCTCCGCTACTGTACTCTTCAGGAACTCCACTTCCTCATTACTGCTGGTGTCTGAAGCTGGAATAAAAGGGATAAGGTTAAGTAAGTATATGAAATTTTTTTATATGAATGTAGTCTGTCTAATGTTAATAGATTTTCTTAAGCCAGTAGACGAGCATACGGATCACCTGATGGTAAGCAATCGGCGTCGCCCGGACACCTGGAACACTAGAGGCGTTACAAGTGCGTCACCGGCTTTTTGGGGATTAGGAGTTTGAGGATAGTTGGGGATTGCGGGATTGGGGAGATTGGGGAAGGGGAAGGTAATTGGGCCTCCGGTAACCTCACTCACACGACGAAACACAACACAAGCATTGTTTCACGTCTGTTTTCTGTGAGGCAGTGGTATCACTCCGGTCGAGCCGGTCCATTCGTGCCGAAGCATAGCTCTCCCACACTTAAAGTTTTGTTATAAAGTTCATAACTAGGAAATAAAATATACATAAATTAAATTAATGTACAATAATAATATGCTACATACCATCGACTTGAATTTCCATTGCAATACAAGTGTCATTATACAAACTATCTCTAAAATTATCAAGATCCGCGAACCGATAACGCAATAGCATTATACAGTGATGAGTGGCTGCTGCACTTTGGGTGCAAAATAACAAAGACAATGATAGCAAAACTTGTATTGCTTATGATAATACATTATTATGACTGAGTGCGAGTAGTTAGAACCATCGTGCAGTGGTGCCATATTGACTACTCTATAATTCACTACTAAATATTCAGCAGTGGATGTCTGGTGGCTGATATGATGATAGGTAAGCATTTTCAAGAACTTTTTAAAATCACTTTTTGGATCCTATCATGGATACAGGCGATTGAGACCCCTTCCAAAGCTCAAATACACAACAAACCTGCATTAAACGCACCGAGGGAAGTGGAATTTTTTTAGCGTTCCTCTAATATTATATAATATATCTTCAGATTTATTTCTTTGCGGAATCCAAGACCCTCAGACGCGTCGGACTTGCAGTTTTCCGGTGTTTTACGGTTGTATTTACTGTAGATTGTGGCCCCTTTTGGGTCAAGCCCAAACGTTTTTTTCCTCGTGAGATGGCGCTTATCTAGCAAAAAGTATTTTTGTCTAATCACGTAGATAATTCCCTATTGGACGAAGCACAAGGGGTCCACTAGCGCCATGTAGCGAGCAATCATACAGTAGCATTATATAATATTACTTTCTTATTATTATTACCCATTAATAAAATAATAACAAACCTGCATCGATGGCGTCGGTGTAGTCGATCTCGATGGCCCGCGGCGGCAGTGCCTGTATGAGCGCGGTGCTGCGCCGCTTCAGTTGTTTGTTCTCCTTGTACCACTCGCCTGCTTGCTGCATCACCCTGGAAGATATCACATTATACTATTAGTAGACAGCAGAAATGTATTTATTAAAGGAAACAATATTTTCGTCAGTTACTATTTTGCTTTATTATTTATTAGGCCGGTAGGCATGAGAAAAAGAGGTAGACCATACGCTCAGTAGACAAACGACATAATCCAAGTGGCTGATGAACATCGCCAAGATGTGCTGTTTTAGGCTTTTTATGGGGTAAACGAGTAGACGGATCATCTGATGGTAAGCAATCTGCGTCGCCACTAGACACCCGGAACACCAGAGGTGTTACAAGTGCGTTACCGGTCTCCTAGGAATTTGAGGATTGTTGGGGATACAGAGATTGGGGAGAGAGTAATTTTAAACTGCCAATTTAGAAAGGAAACAATCTAAGATCTAATAGTCAGTATAACCACTCCTATCAAAAGAACAGTCCAATCTTAAATACTTCAATATTACGATTGATACCGTGAGACCTAAGGCATTAGGGCTGACCTTTGTTTAGTAATGGAACATCTTGTTGCGGAAGAAGATGGAGATGAATGAATGAAACTGAAATTATCTTCATTTTGATATTATTTTAAAAATAAAAAGAAACATTATAAGGAAGTACTTCTACCTATTTCCTTCTATCATGTAACGAAAATATCCAAAACCTTGATCATTATGTGTGTCAATAACCAATACTTAAATTGTATTTACCAAACGTCTTCCTTGAGATAAGCTAATGGAGGCATGTTTCGTTAATTACGTACCTGCCAACCTTTGCCGAGGTATTTGTGAAGATAAGACCTACTGTTTACATGCAATGCGCTCTTTGAATTCTGGGTTAAAATATTGAGTGAGTGACGTCATCGGAAGGTGATATTTGCTCAGTCAAATATTTAGGTACTGTCTCATTAGAGTTATCGGGTGGCAGGTAGTCTTAATGTCTACATTTCTGCATCGACAGCTGAATAATGGATTTCAGGTTCAATTCCTATGTCAGATAAAGTATTATTGAAATTTCGATTTTCTAGGCTCTCTTTATTACATATATATACCATAACTGACTGCCTCGTTGGCCGAGTGGTCGCAATTGTGACTGCCGGGCAAGGGGTCTCGGGTTCGATTCCCAGGTCGGACAAAGTTATATTGGGATTTTTAAAAATTCTTAGTAGTAGCACGGAGTTTGGAACTGTGCCCGGTATGGCAATAGGCTCACCCCCTATTACGTGGGACTCATAACATAAATAGTGAAAAGTGGGGGTAACATTGTACAGTGGTATAATGTGCACCTCTGCCTACCCCTTAGAGGACAAAAGGCGTGACGTTATGTTATGTTATATACCATAACTGGTGGAAAGTAGTAGGCACCTTTCTCCTAATTTCCAAAGTTTGCTGTATCCGACAGAGTATGTCATTATTTGTATTTAAAATTGTAGTTTTCTCACCGGGACTTACAACAAATACGTTAATAAACATGTTATAATCTCTTAACCACCTCTCCACTTACTTGTGCATAACACCAGCGTCCACATCTCTCTGGTTCTTGAGCTGCTGGTACTCATTGAACAGCTTCTCCGACACATTCTTGAGTTTGCTGAGCTCCCTGGACCGCTCCCTGAGCTCCGCCTCCAGATGCTGTCGCTCTTCAAACAGTATGTTGTGTCGCCTTTGCAAGTCATCGTACTCGCGTTTAGCTGTGAAGATAAGAGATAGAGTGTTAAAAAAAGTAAGATATTAAAAAAAATGGCAATTGTTTTGTTGTCACTGGTAAAAACCAAATTGTTGTTAAGTGTCTCCTATTTTAGCTTAGGGATTCAATATTTAAGAAGCAATGATAAATGGGCAAAGTTGTATGCCATATGCATTAAGTCCGCCTTATATACCTTATTTTCGTGTGCATTAAAGAGTAAATAAATGTGTATTAGTTTTATTTGTGGGTAATTTTAGCAAATACTGGTATAATTTATTAAAACTTTATTTAGTATTGAAAATGTTTAACTTTGTTAAAACTTTTCATATAACATGCAAGGATATTTTTTAAAGTAATCTTTATGTAAACATGCTAAATAAAACCCCATATACCCCATATACCATTTAACCCATCGTCCTTACACATTGCATTCACATTTAATTATCAAACAGTATCAGATCAACTGCATTACACCGCTGCTCATTCATACACACATACATACACATTACATACATGCCTACTTTCACAATATATTCATACTGATAAGTTAATAACACCATTCATTATAAAGGATCGGATTCAATCATCAATGTGTATGTTGTACTAAAAGTCAATAGGTAAGTGTGAGTCAAGTTATGACACAGTTACTGTTTCACTGTTCGTTACACATTCAAGTATTCAACATCAATTTCATTCATTTCTATTGAATGACTTTTCATTTACGCTTAACTTACATTGTGGTTCTAAATTAAATAAAGATAAATAACTTTAAGTCTGACTGCCAACAAAATTGTTAAAGGCAAATCCTCAGCTAAAGTTGGTCACCGTTGACTCCTATGTCGTTTAACATTGGTTGGTTAATGTTAAAAAGAAAATCCTGTTACCATTGCTTTAAATATTGTAATGCATAAGTTTTATATAGGTATTAAAAAATAAAATAAAAAATGTAGGTATTCATGCATGTCATTAAGGTATGATCTCTATAGCATTGTTGATATTTTCAGAACAGGCTAACAGATGATTCTATGGCATATGCACCCATCTTAGTATGCTACTAAAGTATCGTCAAGCTAGTATTATAGAACTGTACAGAATATATCTGGGGGCACTGCAGAGTCCCAACCAAGTTGAGCAAAAACGATGTACATAGCATGTATACAACATACAATAGCATGTACTATCCTTTTCTTTATTTCTTTTCTAAATTAATAATATAGTAGCCATAACACAACAAGTATTTATCAATCACATGTTTACTAGAACGGATTATCTAATCAATGTGTAATGTTTTCAGTTAGGTAAACTCTTATCAAGCCAAACCGAAGACTATCAGTAAATAGTAATCATAAATCAAATCAATTATTACTAGAAACTTTTATTTACTATGAATGTCTTGGAATATGATTGTCACATTATCTCGAGTTCTAATTTATTTTATGGATAAACTTATTAAACTGTTGTTTACTGGAATATAAGTGTTAGGCCCCAATACTGAAAGGCTAAGGATATGGCACAACAAGTACAACTTAAAATTGAGTAGCCTTTCAGTATTTGGGCATAAGTGAGATGTATTGTATTTTCTATAATTGTGTCTCAATACAACAACAGACAAAAGGTTGAAGGCAGGTTCATTTTTAAGATAGTTTTTAATTGTGAATCTTCATATCATACATACAATAAAAGCAAGTTTTTTACTGTAAAAGAAAAAGTTTGCTTGAGTTTTAGTAATTTGTAAGAAGCAACGGGAAACATGTCAAAATAATCTAACTAGATATAAAATGATAACAATTAATATAAAAATTATCCTTATGGAATACCTGTCTATTTTTACCACTAACACATACAAAATATGAATTGTATGTAACAATACAGTATTGTACCCTTATCACTGTGTAGCGAGTCATTCAATTTGTTATTTTGTAGTTCAAAATTACTGATGACCTAACATCTATATTACACATATTCTTTACCTATAGGTAATAATAATCCCGTAATATATTTTATTTCTTAGAAAAACTTGGTAAGTACCTATATACTTTTTCTGATTATTCCATAAATACATTTTGTGATGATTAAAGTATTATTTATAAGTTATGCATGGATACTATAGTTTAGTCTAGATTGCCTAGAAGTTGTCTCGATTTATGGCTTAATTCCTTTTGGAGCAGTATTTTCAATTTAAAACTACTTACATATTTGCCAATTTTTTTTTTTATCAAAAGCTCCTTTTTTCAATGCTAAGTAATCTTATTTATGACGAGCATTGACGATAGATTAAGTTATCAATAAATGTATGATAATACTGAGGCGAATGTTAACTTAATTAAAACCAAATACCTTGTGATTCTAAACTAATACCTACACTGCAGACAACAAACTCGGCAGACAGGAAAATTCTTCGAAATTAAAATAGGATCACAACATCACAGTGATACAAAAGTCTACTAAGATGGACTTGGAATTTCTTAAATTAAGCATAGGTAGCATTCATGAAACATTTCAGGGTACTTGTAAAACAAAAGTTTCAATTCAAATGAAATGAAAATAAATGAGGCGAATTGTCAATTTTGACATTTCATCAAAAGAAAACAAAAATGAAAATAGTGTTGCGCAAAAGTCGATACCAATACGTTTCTTCTATGAAAACCGTTAAATTCACCGTTATTCATTTTATTCTTTTATTCTTTGTATTCGATTACTCACTATCCCATACGTGTAATGCGTAATAAACAGTTAAGCCTTTGTTAATGTTAACCTATACCTTATAAAACTAATGTTTTGCATAACTTGACACACGATACTTGCTTTTACAAGTTTAGGTACCTATTTCATATGAGCAAGGATTGGGGAAGATTACGATTTAATGTCCAAGCAACAGGTTATCGTCTGTCATAATCCAACAAATACGCGAATAGGATTTTGTACTTAGGTTTTCGTTTGCATACGACCCGGGAGATATTGTGACATGCGCAGTAGAAACCGCAAAAAAATCACAAAACTAAAGATTTTATTAAAAAAATATGGAAGAGACTTACCTTTTTCGGTTTTAAGTAAATATGCTTTGTGTTTTCGCTCGGCCTCCTCGTATCTGTTTTTCCACTTTTCAACATATGTTGAGATCGCGATGTTAGCCTCCTTGGTGTGTTGTTGCGCGTCGGGCGGCGTCATCCTGGCGGCAGTGGCGCGCGGGATCCTCGTGGCCGCGCCGCCGCCACCGCTGCCGGGACAGAGCGAGACGGCGCTCCGACCGCCTTGACACTGATTGTTACTCGACGCGATCGCAAATACATTATCACCGTTCCTTTTAATCATTTTTGCATTCGATTTTTATTGCACGCGCGCGTCGAACGCTCGCATCCTCTCGTTTTCACGTATGCACGGAGGCGACACGTGTTAGATCAACAGGCTGGTGCGTCGCTAGTTGGAAAGTGTTGAAATTAAATTCGCGAAAGGACTTCTTTGTTCTCGCCGTTGAGGAAAATACGTGTGATATTATACACAGCACATCGGAGTATGTCACGCGCGTTCACTTGTAAAACAGCCTTGATCGTATAGAAGCTGGAACAAATAATTCAATATTTAATTTAAAAAGCGCGTTTAAAACACAAGAATGATATCCGAGTGTCAGATTTCAACTAAGGTTACTAACGTAAGCGTGTGGCTGATATGATAATGAGGACTTCGTCATTGTGAGTCATACGGCTTGGTGTTTACGCTTTTTGTTTACGTTCGACGTTGCCTCATAGTTAGCAGTGCAGTGTTATCATTCGATACTTCTTAGAATCTTGTTAGAATTTAGTCAGAAACATGTATGCATGGAATGCTTATTAGTAAATCAAAGAACCACATCATTATCGTTTCACAGGTCTTAATGTGCCATTAAAATTGTAACCACTTCGTAGCTCGTTTACTCATTTTTTTTTTGTTTCTGAAAATTTTCTCAATCATAATTCGATTTTAATGTAATTAGTTTCTATATTTCTTCGCCTACAAGACGAACATTACAACAGCTTACGCTTATAGAAATCATCGCATTAGTTATTGATGTTGTTTATATTATTTATGTTAATTATTTTGATCGTCAGTCAAATTTATACTTTTCCTTGGAATATTTTTATTGTAACAAAAAATTGCGAAAGTTAGAAATTAATTTTCAAAATATAGTCTTATAAGACTATATTTTTATTATATTTAATTAATAAATCAAATATTTTGGTAATTCGAAAGTATGACCTACTATCTACTAATATTCATCCAAAATACGTCACTCAATTATCGCTCCTAGCCTCCTATAAATCAGTCATAAATATAGATACGCGGAGAGTGAAATAAAAACCGTAAATTTATTTCAACGAAGCGCTTATGAGAAACTTACCAGTACTAACACAAATACACAAAAGGGCACTATCGGCACTATCTCACATTAGTCACTGACAAATAAAATACCACTGACACTGAATGGGAAAATAAAACAAATTAGCGACACGCTAGCACATGTCAAAATCCACAACTAAACGCAGTGCACGCATTATGTCCAAGTAGGGCTGAACGGAAATTCTAAAATTAAACCATTTCCAGTGAAACGGAGAGTCGAACCGTCTTGTCTATGTAAGAGACATGCAACGTGTGGCTTGTGTGGGCCGCTTGAATTGTTAGACATCTCAAGTGATTTAATTGTCACGACCGAGATGCGAGGCATTAATCTCCTCTCTTTACTAATGTCCTCTTGTTTATCTAAGTTTTGTTGAACTCCTAATGGCCTGTTGACTTTTGGATTGTCACATTTATTTCAAATGACAAATTGCGTTTCCAAAATTTCTTATTTATTAATACCTAATAATAATCGGCAGTAGAAGAATTTAAAAATTTGTAAATAATTTTGGTTTAGCATATTAATGCTAAACTGGATATTACTATTTCAGTAACAGTTACGAAGTGTGATTTACAGTTACCAAAATCAGGCCTCGTATTTTTTAGAGATTCAGGGGTAAATATTCACAGATCTCCTGCAAATGAAATGTAAATACATGGAAAATTAGAGCTGAAAATTTTCATCTTCATCTCTCTCGCTTGTCTTACTCTAACTTATAATGAACTCTGTATATTCCATGTATGGAGAACACCTGCGGCTTTGAGTCATTCCTTAAGTGACGATTAAACATAATAGGAGTGTTTATTAAATCTGCAGCTTTGATACGGAGACATCGTCCAATTATTTACAAGCTGGTAGGTACACTACACATGGTACAGTCACCAGCTTTGTTTGAGTAATGAAAGTCAGAAGCACAAAGAACTATAATAGCGATGGCATATGTCGTGACCGTAAAACATTACAGCGTCCCATTTAAATTAATTGATTTTAAACTGTCAAACACCAAGCGGTCACCGGTGACCGCGACCTATTGTTCTTTAATTGTGTCTATAAAACCGGTACTCGACGAGTTAATAACCTAGCTTGTTCTCTTTTCTCACTTAGCCTCATGGGCAAAATTTGTACCTACGTATAAATACTATGGTCAAAGTAATTACGTCCTCATTTGAAATATAACGTCCCAGAAGGTTTACCTACTTAACTTTGACAGTATTGCTTTCTACGAAGTGTTCATCATTTTTACGGGTAGGGACTTTTATGCAACTCGCACAAAACTCAAGAATACCGTTCTAAAAATGAGATCATGAAATTGAAATGAGGGTTCGGCTCATGAATAATTTTAAGCACCCAAGGCACCACTGCTACATTTAAGGCTTAAACTGTCAAACACCAAGCGGTCACCGGTGACCGCGACCTATTGTTCTTTAATTGTGTCTATAAAACCGGTACTCGACGAGTTAAGAAACCAATCGGAACATAAAAAGACGTGGAAAAAACCAACTTAACTGAAACCAGACAGACCTTTAAGGACCATATTTAGGTAACGAGGTCAAAGTGAGGTTCACCTTTGTAAAGATCTTCGCTAACATTGCTATCGGCAAGGCAATCCGATTACACTGATACCCAATTTTGTCATATTATAATGTAGCTATTCATTAAATTCGACTTTCAGTACACTTAAAATTTATTTGGTAATGATGAAGTTGTCGATAATAAGCACTTCACTATTCTTAATCACTTTTTAACGACACTTACGGTGACTTAAATTGACTTAAATTGCTATCAAAAAGTTTAAACTTCTGGTGATAATAGAGAACATTGGTACTTTGAAAAATTGCATGATTGCAAGAATAATAAAAATGCCAATTATGACCTAAGGAACTGAAGATTTCCGTTATATCATTAAGGGCATTCACATCAAAACTAAAATTTAAAATCTCGCAAAATTAATTCGAAAAGCTGAAGTGTGTGCGGGTGCCGCCCACGAGCCACTCATTATTCTTTCAACTTGAGACGCAAACTTTGATTTACTGTGAAATTGAATTTATACGTGTGCCTGTTCTCTTTGAAACTGTGGAAGGGAAAACTTTAACTTTATCGATGTACAGATTTAGACTTTACGTTCAGAGTATTTTTAGCCATTGTTCTAGTGGCATCAGGTATTGTTTATTGGATAACCGACATGTGTATTGTGTTACTTTGATCCTTTTAGTTATTCAACAATAAGTTTATTGATTTAAAAGTATATACAAAACATCAAATGGAAGCCAACATTAATCAATTACGCCACTTAGATAGCTATCCAGCACACAATCACAAAAAGTGTGAACATAACCCACATTTCGAGGAAACACTCACATCACTTCCTGCAGCGAGTAAATTCGGCAGATATTATTTTTATGAGCGAATAATAAACGGTTGCGCGACCATTCACCTCGGTCCTATTTCTGAGCTCTTGTTAACTTCTGCCCATAAAATCTCGCTACTGGCTGTAAGGAGGACGTAAAAATGTTGCTTATACTGTGTCCGTACCATGTCATTGATGAGCAGTCTTGTCGAGTTTATGACTGAACGCATATTTAACTAAATAAAAAACGAACTTAAGCTTTTTGGGTGGTAATGGGCAGTGACCGGTTTTATTTATATAGCCCCATTTGTTTGTGAGCTGAATTGGCGGACTTTTTAACGTAGGCCATGTTTAAACTTTCTAAAAAATAATGAGTATGTCTGCTGACCATTTTAAAGATATTCATCAATATCATTCATGCTCTTCATTACAATAATCATATAATGATAACATCCTAACAATCATAAATATACCTCAACTTTTAAAAAATTGTCTAAGGCTACATAATCTGTCAAATATTAATGTAACACGTAGGTAAGTTGAATTTAAGATTTCCAGATCAATCACCAGAAAGTGGTGTTTTCTGTGCGACCGATTTAAAAAGTGGAGGAATAGTTTTTGGCGCAACGTTTCCAACAAAACCTCATAAATACCAAACTATATCATCCCAAATCCTCATGACAACAGCAAAAACGGGGAAAACAACGCAATTTTGAGTCAACTGGTGTCAACTGGCAGCAATTATTTGATTCGATTAGCGCAGTTTTTGCGATGGCGTGTAATTAGCCGTTATAGTGGCAATCTATCCTGACTCCGAGCGACATTCCTCTCTCTCTCTCCCACACAAAATGTGTCACTCTACGATCTGTATCCTTGTTTACGGTGACTACACGTTATGTGGTTGAATGGATTTGTACTAGCAACGTAGCTATTTATTAACCACCATTGCTCTAATTGTAAACAGCCAAACGGTCTTTCATTGTCTTAGTAATTATCTAAAATAGGTCAAATTAATTAAACCGAACTTTGAAATAAATTGCAGTAGGAATGCTCTCAAAACAATTTTTTCTAAGCATCCTTAACAATTTCACTTCAAAAGATTTCAGTGGAATTTAAAGAATGTTTCTAAAAGTCAGGACCTTTCATAGAATGTCCTGTTAACACTACAACGCATGTTCCCTGCTCTGTGTGGGTGGCGACAGGATTGTGCCCATGTTTATTGCAAAACTTTTTACTGCAGTCGTGGGTTGCGATCTAGTTTCGAACAAATATCAACTCGAAAAACTTATTAAAAATTAATATTGTAATTTGCATATACTATTATTTTTTTTATAATATCGAGAATGAAGTGTGACAATTATTTTAAATCGCGTCACATAAATTACAGGGTCTATTATATTTTTCTTTAAAATCCAATTCACGGTAAAATTGGTAAGCACGTAATAAACATAAAAACTTTCTCATTAAACATTATAAAACCACTTCTTTAAATATAGAGAACAAATAATATTTTACTAGTTATCGTAATACCAATTTTCATTTTAATAACTAGTTATCTCCACAGTGAGCAACGGTAAACGTTCTTATCGATAA